ATAGACTAAATGAATAAAGGCGTGTACAACGTACGTGAAGAGTTCTGACAAAGACTGAATACTGGAGTCACTTGTACAGTAATAGGATTAAGTTCAATGTGAGGCACAATTCAATTTACTCAAGCATGACTCAAGGTAAGGCTGAGCGGCAACTTATGAAAACAAATTACATGTGCCGGTATATGCACACTCTAAATTGACAGAGTAATCATATTAGGCATCAGATACAAATGATGCATTAAATTTGTATACAATAGGGGACCCCTGTGGTAACCCAGCTGTTTCAATGAAGCATTTATTTTAAAGAAAGGTTCAAAAATGACTGGGGCATATAACAGACCGTGCACTTAGAAAACAATCGCACTAAATCCAGCAAGTACCAAAAAAATCACAAAGTTAGTCTTTTTAAAACAATTAGAAATTTATACACTTAAATAGACAGCTGAGGTGTGTGCAATTCTGATGTGAAAGAGCCAGCAATCAAATCAAAGTTATGATGGTTATTCATGTTACTCTTTGTCAAAGGACAATGATTCGAAGTTGGATTGCACATACAAGAAGACAATCCCGACTTAAGTTTGGCACACAGCTACTTAACATAGATATGCACAGCTAAAATTGGTAAGAATTTCACATTTCCCAGCAACATTTTCCTCAAAACACTTCTCAATCTTTCAGCTATGTAAAAGGAAGACCCCCCCCCCAAAAAAAACCTGGCATGACCTGAGAGTGGAAAGCCATTGTAATTTCTGTTTCTCCTTGTTTTCTCCGTCAAATATCGTTGTTCCTCTTTTCAAAGAATGTGCTTAAATACATGTGAAACACGACCTTTGAGTTTGTCTTTGGTATTCAGTTCAAAACATACTCCTCCACTATGTCCACGGTCACCGTAACTGTGGATTCTGAAACAAGATATCAAAACATAAGTAGCAAGCTGCCGATAACCAACGTTAACAAAACTCCTTTTAAAATCCCATCGCTACTCACCACAGGTTCGGGTGCATGCGGATGCTGCACATTCGGGGCGCTGGACGAAGCCATTTTGATGTGTATTCTTCAAGCTGCAGATGGCAAAATTATTTAATTACGTTTCTCAGTCACAGTGTAGAAAAAGTCTTGCAAACGTTCACCGGCACCACAAGCGTCTCGTCGTCGTGTCCGAGATTTTGTACTGCGCCTTTGATCGATTGTTCTCGATAATTTTCGGATATTCTCGGACGGAGTGATTCATTTTTAAAAGGGGGTTGAATGAATCCGTTGTGCCAGATTAAGTGAAATTAGATCAACCGACTGTAATATCAGATTTATTTTTATCTTTACATGATTTTATAATGTACGGAATATAATAATAAATTTGTAAAAGTGGAATACCTGCAAGAGTTATTCAGATTGTTTCAATACATTTGACGTGGACCTCCCTTTTGAGTGCGTAAATTGAACCAACCATGTACAACACGTGACCTTGAATAGGTAAACAAGAGACGATAGCAGACGACCCTCCTGAGTCTCCTCTCAATTCAAGAAAGACCGAGATGAGTAATCTAATCAATAAAATTGATTAAAATACAATTTAAGGTCATCTGACATTTTGGTGGTCGTTTCTTTCATTGCAATTGTCCTCGGAGCTGGAATGACTGATCATGGAGCTATTCAAAAGGTGGACTGATTAATTAGTCATTCTAAGCACATTTAAAAACAAATATATTTCCCGTCTTTGGCCTTAGGAAGACCTTGTATTTAAAAAAAAAAAGGTTATATGACGTAAGAGACCGCGGCCTCGACAGCATTCTTTGACCAAGAAAATTACAAAATTAAATTCACGGGTAAACAACAATAATGCAAAAAATTAAAACAAGTGTGTGGGTTGTAAATTGAGAAACGTGTGCGGTCCAAAAAGTACATGATTTATCTCAAATCGAAACAAACAACAAATGACAACTTTATTTCTGAATAGACTATTCCAGTTTTATTGAATAATACAATATCAAGGCAGGTATAAAAGTACTAAAGTTTTGGGTATAATTATTGATAAAAATCTTACATGGAAATATCATATTGATGAACTAGAGAAAAAATATCCAAGAATATTGGTATTATGAGTCGTCTAAGATATTATCTTCCGAGTAAGATTTTATTAACATCGTATAATTCCTTTATATTACCCTATTTAAATTATTCCATTTTGATTGGGGGCTGCATGACATCCAAATGTAACAAATTACTTACTTTACTAAAACGAGCAGTCCGCAAGATTTTGCATGCTGGCTATCGTGATCATTCTGCTCTGTTATTTGCTAAATGAAACCTGTTGCAATGTAATCATTTATATACGAACTTAATCTGGGAAAATTCATGTACAAACTTATGCACAATTTACTCCCTTCCAGTTTGAACTCTTGTTTTACTTTCGCATCTGTCATCCAAAATATTATAATACTCGTAGAATTATGAAGGGAAACTCGAATTGTTTGTCGAATTTAACAGAACGTCATTGGCCAAGAACGATGTTATCCATCAAGGTATATTGTACTGGAATGGTCTAGATGATTCTCTCAAATCATTACTTTCTTTATCTGTGTTTGCTAGAAAACTAAGAACTTAGTTGCTCGGCTCATATTAGTAAATCATATTTATTTGTGCTCTATTAATGCGGTATTGTCTCACACTTGCTTTTGTTTTGTCCTGTTCGTCATTTGTCTGTCCTAGTAGGTTGGATTAAATGTCATCTAATTTTGCTCAAGTTAATGGCGATGTACTCAGTACTTAAGTAACGTGAATCATGTTTGCTTATTGTAAAGAATGACAGCATTGAAATAAATGTTTCATTCATCATCATTATATTCTGCATCCATTGTCATTTTAAGGAACCTTTACATGAATTTGTTTTGTTGAGGGAGAAATTTAAATTGCTTTTATCTACGAACTTAACAGCTGGAGAGGCTGCTCTTTGGTGTAGTCATTTCATTCTGACGATAGAGGGCGCTATATAAATAAGCGGGCAAAGACGAGAACATTTTACTGTTCGGGATTATCACTTGTTTTGGAGAGCTTTCTATCAAAATCTGGAGGCTCCGTTTGCAAAGAAAACAGACGGCCTGTACAATCATATCCATACTTGAAATGATCACTCTGGTATATAAGCATTTGATCAAACAAACTAGACAGCATATTCTCAACTTCTGGCCTACCCATCTGTCTCTTTATTCATCACAATAATTGCAATGGATGCATCACTTACAATACGGCACTTCTTTTAATACTAAATATGGGCAAACCAATTATCTTCTTTGCATTAACTGGCAATTTCACGCTCAAATTTCAGACACACCTGCACACTTCACAGTGCTTTCATGCAAAATCGCTTTGAGGTTACGGTAAGTAATCAATTAAAAAAAAAATTAAATAATTATTTTGCACTTACCACAATTTAAATTATCACACAACTATGCTATGGTGAAAGGAATGCCAGCTCAAGTACTTACATGCATTATGGTTTTTAAAAAATGTGAAATTTAATTAGAGGACTAATAAGAACAAAGGTTTTGAGCTATGTTCTTACGGAACCAAAATTACAACTTTCAGCTGAAATTTGTTATCAATTAATTGAAATCTTAGTAAGTGTTAGTGTTTGCCTAACTTTAAGCACAATGGTGAAAAGCAAAAAAAAAAAGTCACATAAGAATGAAGCTATTGTGTCACCCTTTGGTAAAATCAACACAATACAAGACATCAAGGCAATGAAATGGGCTATGATTGTGCTGAAAAAGTTGGCAAACACCTGCCAAAGCCTCGAGATTTGATTAGCAACAAGTGGTGTACCATTTTGCCCTCCAAGATGGTCAAACATTTCACATTGTTTACATCTACACTTTATAAAACAAAGAACCCCCCAAAAATGACGCTTTGCATCAAAAATTACTCTAAAGGCCTTCGTGGATGAAAGAAATTAGTATGTAATGAAATTCCTGAGTGCTACATGAAAGATTCAGCCCACATACTAAAACATTCTCGCGTGCATCTGATGCACACTTTTTGAAAACTCAGTATTTCAAACCATTGCTGATTCCCCAATGTAAGTACACATTTGGAGAAATATCAAAGTAATTAATGGATCTTTCTTTATTTTGTTTCTTGTCCTGACTACAAACAAGCATTATTCTAAGTCCACTCTCAAGATGCTAACACACTGAAACAGATGAAATCCTTGTCAAATGTTTCAAAATCTACAGCAAGAGTTCCATTCAATTTCTTGTGTTAGATTCCTCATCAAAGATTACCAATGAAAGGAAATAGGACTCTTACCTAGGAACAGTTGTCATTGATTATGGTTGAAGGCAACACACAGACAATTCCTTTGGATATCTTTAAGGAAATAATTTCCAAGACAATGACAGTAAACTTCGACTAAGTCGGCATCATGTAACTCGTCTTATCATCTAAGTTGGCCTTTTGATAAAAGTCCTGATCGTCTGTAATGCAATTCCATTGAAAATTTCATCTCTAAGTGGGTATTTATAAGTCGTCATTTCGTGTAATTTGGCATGTTTTTCTCGGTCCCTTTTCCGCAAAACCACAAAAATTCTTTGTGTAAGTTGGCATAAAAAAACCTTCATGCTTCAGTATCAGTTTCCTTCGCTGCGGTTGCCAAGAAGTGTCCAGTGACAAGCCCCACACTGCTTGACTGATGTCTGTTTATTAGCAGCACAGGCCGTGGTTGATAATTGGTCAGCATGAGTACGTCAATACCAGTAACCTCTCTAGTGCTACACGCATGCGCTCTGTCCATTTTGGGGGACGTCTTATCGAACAAACTTAACCAATGCGCGTGAGCAGATGAGTGTATGTTTTCTATACCGTAACCGTATCATGTACATTTACGCACTGCACTGTCGAGTCGTGATGTGATATGCAAGTGGCTTGCCGTCCTTGAGGATAATAATCGAGAACCAGTTTGCTGGGATCGACCATGGAGGTAGAAATAAACCAGGGTAAATCAAAGCCATTGAATTAGTGCAAGGAATCATAATGTACATAGGCAATACATGTGTACGTGTAAGCAAAATGACGACTTACAGCACTAGTCGGCATTCACGTAAGTCGTCATAAGTTCTTGAGTCCCGAGAGTGCCAACTTAGTCGGAGTTTACTGTAACACGTTTTTGACACCTATGTACACACAAGTGCTACTTAGCTTGTGGCATTACTCAGGCAGCACAACATAGCAATATTTTGTTTCTGACAACCAGTTTTTCATCCTGTATCTCAACATTCCGTACACACAGTCGACAGCAGTCCTTACTCTTCAGTCCTGGAGGTTCAATCTGTCTTGATCATCTTGCTGTATTCTTCTTGCTCTTTTGCTTTGTAGATGCTCTTCACCCGGGTTCTCTTCAACTGACCGTCCCTGAAAAATAAAAAAGAAACCACTCAGAATTCGAAGCGGTATTTTTTACCTGCATGGTCCAGCCACGACTGACATAAAGTCAACGGTCCAGCCATGACTGACATCAAGCCAACGGTCCAGCAATGACTGACTTCAAGCCAACACAATTTCAAGATTCGTTTGAAAAGAGACTAACAGGTTGTTTGAAAAGAGACACCACGGTATAAACCATAGTCAGAGTTGAGAGAAAATGATGAAGTTCAAACCAAAAAATCCTGAATTAAAACAAAGTGGCTGTTTAACCACTTGCCGCTGGAGATTCCAGTTTCGGGCACGTATTCTTTATACGCGTAGCCAGGGTCTCCAAAATCGGACAAAGGCAACTTGGCCTTGTAACAAAAGACCATACTCGTAACAAAAGACCAGGCTGCTGGGAATTAAGAACATTTTTTCACTCTCAATAGTGGAGATAATCCAGCCTTGTTTTGAAACAATACACCACAGTTTATCAAACGTTTAGCGATGAGCCGCACAGTACTGCTACACACTAATCTGGCCCCTATTGAAAAGAGGTCAGCAGCGCATTGTGCCAGTTTTATGAACAAAAGAAAATTACGTAACACCGCACAATCTGGGTTCATTTTACAAGGCGGTAGGCCTGGCTGAAATACTCCAGTGTCAATAGATGTGTCTGTCAGATTAAAGTAGAAACCAGACAGTCCTTCGTGTGGGTGTAAAGTGTCCAGTAAATGAAGATATGAATTTTTAAAGAATTTTGAATCGGAAAAAAAATGAAAATTATTCCTCAGGCCAATGTTCACAACAGTTCTGTAGCATTGGAGAATTTTACTTGTACATGAGAATTTTTTTTTCACGTGGATAGTGGCACAGTCCATCATAGGTTACTCGTCTAAGAAAACCAGTGCCCATTTCTATTTCATAAGTGGAGAGGGACAAGTAAGAGTTAAGTGGCTTGCCCATGGACACAAAAGATGCCCAGCATCTGGATTCGAACCCCTGACCCACTGATCAGGAGTTGCTGATAATACCAACAATGCCACAGTCTTTCTCTTAAAGTAACAGGGAGCGTGATGTAAATTATAATAGGTTTTTATTCCTCATTTTATCTTCCTCTTATCAGATAGATTGTGAGTTGAGATACTGACCAGGTAAGATCAAGAAGTCCACCTTGCTTAGCGATGGCTGACTTGACTCGATTGGCAAATTCAACGGCATCTTCATCCTCCTAAAGGTACAAAAAGATACTTGAAATGAAATACCTTCTCAGCAGTGACTACCGAGTGCTTGGGACCAAGGTCCCCTGAAAAAATGGAAACCAGTTCACTAGGAAAGGTCACTCCAGGCGCCTGGTTTCCAATTGCCTCCCATGGGAGTAAAGAGTTATGCCATCAAGTTAAAAACATGCGGCCAGTGCTGTTCCGAGCCACAGACTATGAGTATTAACCCCACTCCACCCAAATCTATTAAAATCCACTAGATATGAAGGAATTTGCAGGGTTGAGGAAGGAACAGTCTGGCTGCAACAACTTTACATGGGCTTGATGCCTCGTAAAAGTAAAAGCACGAGCACTGTACCATACTTTCTGCATGGAAGCAGGTTTAAAAGTTATAAGCAAGATACCTAGGGAGTTACGGTTGACTGTTCCATCTTGAGTCATCAGTGTGTGGCTGGCTGTTTTAAATTTGTAAATATCTATAAAATTTTGATGTGGAGTGAACATGTCAGAAGACAGTGTTATTCCTAAATTTAGATTCTTTACTATTGCAACAAGGAGGCAACTTTTTTGAGGGAAATATAAAACTATATGCCACTTGCATCAAAACTTTGAACTGGCTTACCCCTTTTACCATGGGAGGCAGATACCAGACATCACACACAATAGCCCAACTTGTCATCATCATGAGCAGGTACCGGACCATTGAATACTTGCTGCTGTTCCAGAACGGATCCCCGAAATTGGAATTGTACTGTACAAAGAAAGACACCATGCCACTTGATATGAATTACACCTCAACACAACATTTGTTTAAAACAGAAATCACTGTGACTAGGGTAATGCCTAACAAGCAAATCTGTGACTTGACTTCTTATTTTTTTGATAACAAGATGTTTGCATAAGTAAACAGGGATTCACAAGACTTAAATGCTTCGAGTAAAGTTCATTTGGATCAGTAAGCATGAAAAAATTGACCCTGCTTGCAAATAAACTGCAGAACATTCCCACTTTCTGCAAGTTTTCCCGAAAAAAGATAAATTACAGGGAAAAAAATGTATCAAGCATTTACAAAAAGGTGAAGTTCACTGAGAATTTTACTGCCATGATTCACACAAATGCAGAAGTTAGGCTTCTTAGGGGAAGTTGACAGAAGGAAAAGGAAATGAAACATGGGAAGGCATACAGTAAAACCGGATGAGTTTACCAGCGCTGACGGAGAAGAGAAATTCATCCCTATTTTGTGGGCATACAGTCTGCTCTAAAGATTACCCCCATGAGTGTCATTACCTTTATGGCTACTGGGTAGACCATACCGCCAACCTCAAAACTTCCTTTTTTAAACTGCATGACGGACGTGTTGTTAATGCATGTTCCTGTGATCAAGCACAGGTAAGGGTGTTGTGTGAATGGACAATGCCCGGTCAGTGGTAAGATGATCTAGTTAAATGAAACGTATGGTCATCGGACACCATGACTTTCACGAAATAAGGACCTTGCACAATGAGGGCCAGAACTTGTCATGCTCCATGCAAGGAAGTCGTTGACATTTTCTGCTCAACAAAAGGAAAATGTTCCACAGATGCTTAGCGTATTACTTACAGGAAGGTAAAGCAGTTAGCACAGTGAAACTATGCTTACAATTGATGGCAAAAATTAATTGAAAGTGGTGAAAGGTACAACAAAACATCTTCCTGAACACACAAAGGCGCGCCAAGAATATGTGCAAATACAAAGTTGGCAGGGTTTTGGCTGAGCTACATACATTTCTTTTGATCTTCTCCAACCCCTAAATACGCCATATACGACGCTGTAAGAAAACAACAATATTGAAACCCTATGAGAGATCGTTTGACAGCAAGCTTCAATGTGTATCAAACTACAGATGCAAATAAAGGCAATGTGACAAACCTTCAGGGAAGATCAAAATGGGTAACTTGTTTGGATCATTTACGTGTTCTCGCAACCTGCAGGGGAAAAAAAAGTGTTAATGGGCAATTGTACATTTTAAATCAACTGGTTTTGAAAAGATGGTTTTGAACCAACCCATGTCATAACAATCACAGCCCTCAATTTAAACCCAGCAACCCAAATACCTCTGTGTGACTTTCTTCCGGTCTCGTACCTCCGAGCGCTCAAACCAGATATGGTCTGTGCCTGTACGACTCATAGCACGCTGGACCATCCCTGTGAAACCCGTGTGGAGTTGGCCAATCTAAGAGAGAATACACGTTAAACCACATTGGCATTGTAAACAAACAGAACGTGGCATAGAAATGAAAAGTTGAAGGTTATTATCACCCACAAGTAATTTGAAACCATTTGCACACATCTTTTTTTCTTGCGGATTGTAGCTTATAGGGAGGGCAAAAAACAAGCATCTCAAATACAGGTTCAAACAAATATTTGACAAGTACTTACAAATGCATAAACATTGTCAAAAGACAAGATGGCGATGTCGATTGGCGAGGTGTGATTGGCCACACATATCCCTCCCTTGGCTCGGTTCTCTCTGTAACCACGGCAACAGGTTTCATTTGGGATTAGCTTAATATTTTCAATACAAATAAATTTGGTCTTGAGTTTATTGAAGAAATCTTGTGTGTGCCTCTATACAATGGGAAAAAAACGAAGCTGTTGCACAGTAGAAGTCTGACAAGAAATGCAGACAGGGAAGGAGTGGTAATAGGGGTGTGGCTGAGAGGAAAGGAAGTGGGAGGGACTTAATATGCAGAAGATGGACTTGGACTTACTTGTTGTGGAATGTGATAATGGCTGAGAAACATCGACAGAACATACGATGGAGAGTCAGAGAGCTGTACTTGTTTAAAATCTGTTTGAATCTAAATAAAAGAGGAAAAAATCTCTACATCGGTGTACAATGACAAAATAAAAATCTTAGGCATTGAATATTTTTTTTTGGGGGGGGGGAATAGGGATTTAAGAGAATTAATCAGGGGTTGAAATTAACTTCAATCTCTTGGTGGCATGCAGGGCCAGTGGGGACGTGCACTGCACTGGCCCTTATGAAAATTTGGCCGGGGTTGAGTACATGTAATGAAATTGATCAGGGCTACCACACATTCCCACTGGCATCAGTCAAACTTCTCTACCAAAACAGCTGATTGGCAAGTCTGGCTGGATTTAAATACACTTTTGAGGCCAAAAAACTAGTTCTGCTTCTGGTTATGCGACCGATCCTAAGTTTTTGGTGTGACAATAAAATTTACATCGGCAAGTTAAAAAAACACATTTAAAAATTAAAAAAAATTAAAAAAAAAAAATCATGTTTTCACGCGACACTTCTAAACAATTTGTTCATATCTATAAAGGCTTAAATTTTTTGTTTGCCTGCTACATTTGCAACATTTGGAAAGAGAGGTCTGTTATTTTCACAACTTCCCTTTGCATTTCGCGATCGCGGTGGTGAAAACATGCAAGCAATACGGCTCTACCGATTCCTGCATCATATGGGAAACATCTGGAAAAAATTACACCTTTGGCATGAATATACAACCGTTCAATCAATTAAAGTGGCCTCTACTTTTCCCCAAAATGTGGCAATCCAGTGAAACAATTGTGAAATACCTTGAATCTGGGAAATATCCCAGGAATGCAGATGACACCAGCAGATACAGCATACAAATACTGGTAACAGCCAACCTGATGAGAAAAAAACATTTTTGTCTGTTACGCATCAGTCAACAACCCCCCCCCTTCAAACTGTACCCATCTTTATGACTAACTGCATTTCACAAGTCTTTTGCCCAGCCTGACAATATCAATGTATTACGTAGACAACTGCAACAGTTTTCTGGAATCTTCTTCCTCTCATGTTGACCCCTTGAATGACCTCTGATGTCTGCTCAGAGTTCACTGAACTTAAGTAAACAACTTGACAGCCTTGCTGAAGGTCACCAGATACAGTAGAAAAAGATGAGATAATAACTTGACAGTCCCACTTTTGGACAAGTAATTTTGTTGCTTGTTGTAGAAAATGCTCCTGTGTACCTGACAGGTAGGAGTACCAAGTATCGAAAAGCAAACCCTGCCACCCAGAGAAGCGTCAAATGAATGCTGCAGACAGAAGTAACAAAAAAAAAGGAAAAATCCTCAATAAACATCAAGGAAATAATTCACAAAACAAGCAGTAACATTCAAATATCTGAAAGGGACTACCATACTGCCTTCAGCTTAAATGAATCACAGTCAACTTGGAAGTAAAACGACCTTTTCATAATATGAAACTCACTGCAGTCCAATGCATATTGGTGATACAAATGAACGTTACGCTTACTTGCTACATTTGATAAAGCCGACTAAGAATAAATTGATAAAATAAACCAATAACTCAAAGCCATGCCCATACGTTAATGAGTAACTCTCCTTTATGCAGTTGTGTGGGCAATCACTCCTAGGCTCTAATCAGAGTAAATACCATTGTAAATGTAGCTCTGGGTGGGTATACGTGTATGGATCTGGGGTTGTGTATATCACCCATAGCATGACTTGTGAAAGAGATCCTGTGTACCCAGAGGTCACTCAAACCAGTGCCCAGGTACCCCCCTGAGCAGTCAAGAAACGATAGTTTTTTGCAAACACAGAGAAGTGAATAACACTTACTTGATGTAATGGTAACGCATGCTTGTTCTCGTCAGTAAATTCCAGGATGGAAGCTCTAATAAAAAAGGAAGAAAGTCCAATAACAAGCATGGTGATTCATTTATATGGACATGTGTAGTTGGAAACATAGTTGACATAGGAGAGAGGTTTATTCCTTTTTGACAAAAACACCTCACAGTGACCTTATTTGAGACAATTTTAAACTCCTTGCATCACATTTCAGAGGTCCTGCAGCAGCAGCCAATTTCACGAAACTTTGAACTATACGTAAGCCTTGCGCCATAAATTTATTATGTAGCAGCGCAATTTGCTTATGTTAAATTTCCGGAAAAGCTGCGTAGCTGTGCCACGTTTTAATAATATTAAATTTCTTGGACGAGGACAAAAATGGCTTTTACAATGGCTATTCCTTTCCAATATAACATCAGTCATCAAACAGTCGTTGAATCTCCTCCGTCTGCCATTCGAAAAAAGTTTTGTCTTTTCTTCGTCAGAACCGGACAAAAAAACTAGCAGTTTTCTCAAAGCCAGACAAGTTTATTATTACCTCCTACAAAATAGTTGTTCATTTTTCGTGTATGCCTTATTAAGCTCAGCAATGATGAGGCTTAACTGCACCTGATAAGCTAGTCAAATCATTCACTTCATTTGGCGCAACTTATGCCACCTAAAATAACTGCATAAGTTACGCCATAATTTGTTGCGCAAGTCGCAGACTTACACATGGTCTAAGTTTCGTGAAATCGGTCTTAATTTGTTGCAAAACTTACACAATAAAATGTGACATAAGGGGAGTTATGCATGTGTTATGCCATTGTGTAAAGTTTCGTGAAATCCGCTAACTGTATTATTCAAAACAATTTTTTTCTTTGGTGGGGGGGAGGCCTTTTCAGTGGCACACTACTTGCTACCACCTCCATCCTTGAAGCAAAAACACAAACTGACCTAGCCTTTCTCCACAAATACTCCCTGTCTAAGCACATAGTTCCACCCCTCCACCCTTCCGGGATTCAACACTGGGTCCTTGAACTGCACAAGCCATGCAGGAAGACTGCACTGCAATAGTTTAAATGGCTCAATTGCTTCTTCCTAGACTAATTAAAAACATCCTGAATGAAACAAAATCTCTCAACCAAATTTCCATAACAAGATAAAAAAAAACTCTCAAAATCTAAAAGGGCTTTTCCCCCAACGATTTGCTTTAGTTGCCGGTATGTTTCAGAACTTTGAAAGTCGCTCCATATCAGAATAAATTTTGATCAGCAAGTCAAAAATACCTTGAGGGACTATTTGATTGGAGTATTGCCACTATCATTTATCTGATAAAAAGCTGCCTGAAAAAAAATAGCACTGTTCTGGGATGGTCTATCTGCAGAGAGTGTTTGGTCACAGGGCAACTAACAAAACCCTAAGTTTGGGCTGGCCAAAGTCTAGGCTAGACTGCAAATGTTAAGTTTCCCAATGATGAACCAAACTCTGTATGATGAAGAATGAATTTAAGAAAAATCATTTCAACTGTAAAGCCACTGTATACGGTATTCATTACTTCCTATTTCCTCTTCGAAGTATTTCTCAAATCTTGGCTTTGTATCACACACTAAGCTGCACTTGATTTCAGCATCTCTGGCTTTGGAAGTTGAGGGTCCAATAAATCAGTGTTATGATGAGTATCAAAGTTTCCTAACTATGCCACCCCTTTTACTACAACATTATGCAAAGGTTTTGAAAGAAGGATGACAAATCAGAGCTTAGGAGCTTAGAAATTGCCCCTCGAAAAGCAAAGATGATGGAAGACAAATAATTAACATGTTATTATGAACAACTCATCATCAATTTTTTTCAAAGCCATTCACTGCACGACCTTCAAAGGCAACTGTCATTTTGACCATTAAAACAAATGCTTATGATAGCAATATTTTTTACATATCAGTTGAAAGTTGCAGCACAAAACTAAAATTACATTTCAGTACAAACTAATATTGACCAAGAAGAGAGCATAACAGCAGAGTGAAGACCCTTACCGAAAAAGGAAAAAACACCATGTGTTTTCAACTTCAGTGAACTGTTTGTCAAAGTGGGACATTTCCAATCCTTACTGCAAACTGTTATATATCAGCATATTACATAAGTGAGCTTTCAAATCCTGAGATAACTCTAAGCAGTATCAAGTAGAATGTCAAAACTTGTACCCACAAATAAGGAATTTTATCTTAAGGAAAGTCATGTGAGATTTCTAGTGGCGGCCAGTAATTTTAAGAAAACAACACAGAGCTGCTAGTTTGTAGCTTAGTAAACTTTGATGCCAGCTCTTGCAAAGAAATTTGTGCATGTCATTTCAAATTTAAGAAGTCTTCATTAACTTGGCTTTGGCAAGTTGCTAAATTTACCTGGATACAGCGAATGAATGAGGATAATAACAGTTTATTCAGTGGCCTATAATAAATTTGGAATGAGGCAAACTAGGTTTAGTGTAATGATCCTGTTAAAACAGTTCATGCCTTCTGAGCATGTGCAGACACAGGTAGGTCTGCTTTCAAAAGTAACTTTAAAAACAAGACAAGTTTTATTCTCAAAATTCATTTGGTATATAAACCGAAAGGCTTTCAACCCTTCCTTTTGAAGGACAGTAATTGTTGAGGTCCTTTTCCATGTCATTATAACAGCTGAACTCTCTAATTTTCTGCCAGGAAATAATATTATCAATTACATGTGCTGCCCAATATGTTTCATGACCTGTTTCCTTTGATCATTTGCATTACTTTACCAAGGTCTCGAAGATGTTGCAGTGTGAGTACTGTTAAGTGTGCTGATTAAGCAGACAGACAAAACATCCTTGAAAATGACAGTTGAACTTTGAAAGAAACTTGTCTTGTTCAAGCTTTAATGCAAGAACTTGGATTTGTTTTCTCAGCCAACCGAAAAACACCCTTTTTGTAAGGACAACCTCAGTGCTAGTTGTTGGAATTTTGCTTCTCTGAGGTGCTACATTAATTCTCTGATCTTGCCCTTTTTGAAAGTGCTTTATTGAACATTTTACACCAAACAGAATAACCCATTCATACTATCAAGACTAAAAATAACTGATCCCAATCAAATCAAGACCTCTTTTTTGCAACTCATGTACATCCAAAGTCCAAGGCACGATCTAAAGACAAGCTTTTAGAAATATCAACATTCAACGGAAGAGGTCATCACCTCGACCTAAAAAAAGCTGGCTGTCCATGAACATAGCAGTGAAGTGAACAGAAAAAAGCAAAGGCCAGACAAAACAAGCACTCCATGACAAACTGCAAAGTTACAGAATCATAGAAGCCAGTGGAAGAAACAAGACAAGAGAATGTGACCGGCCAATGGCAGCTGAATGATAAATATACTCAACAATCTAAATGCACGATAGTGCTATCACAGCTAGACATGTAGGGTGGCCATTCAGTGCAAATGAGGATACATTTTATTTATCAAGAGGTAAACCCCTTGGAGCATATTGGCCTTGAAAACCTTGGTTTAAGCTGCAAAGCTTGTGGCCTAGTTGCATTTGACTTTTGCAAATTCACGGCATATTCGCTTTACGGAATAACTTGCAGATTAACTGACCCCAGTTAAGTAGTCAATGCTTTGCATCTAATTAGTTGTCAAAACGGACAGTTTTTGTCTTTCCTTAAATAGAAACTGACTTCTTTGGGCCTGATAAAAAACAAACTCAGAGAATATACTTCATATTATCAGGAATTAGTTCATTTTATTGAAAAAGAAGTGTGTCAGGATTTGAGCAAACATCAATTAATTTAACCCTCCTATGGTTTAACAGCACAAATATGCACGAGTGCTCACAGTCACTCTCTTGCATGTGTTTTCTACATGGAACTCAAACATGCACAGATTCAGTGAGTACACANGTGCAATATGATATTCCTGTGAGGGACTGTTAGTGCAGTGCACAACACAACACAGCTGTGCTTCTTTGAGGTGTTCACCAAATGACCCAAAGAGTGACTTCAGCATAGGAGGGTTGCATTATCTACAGCAGTGGCTGACCCAAGAATACAATTTGTCAATTTTCACACTCACCTTCGGCAGTGAAACGCTTAGTCACTTCATCATCAATAATGGCCTGCAGAGAATGAACCAAGAGGCACTGGATGACAAGCAAGAACTGTGTCAATGCAACACTGATCTTATGGTACCAAAGACCCAGTGCTGGACAGGTGATTTGATCTTGGAGGGGACAGAAAATCACTTATGTTGAAGGATGAAGAGAAAATGACTGGGACTAGTACCTCGACGCCCTTCTTGGCGAAGTAGCAGACATCAGACAGACGGAACTCCTCGGCAGACTGTCTATAGGTCAGTTGACCATTGGTGACTCTGGGCTTGATGCCATCGGCAAGGTGCTTGGTGGATTCCTTTCGAATCAGAACTGTGGTTGGAAGGGAGATAGGGCCCACAGAATGATTGACCAAGTAAATTCATCTGAACAGAATGATAGTTTTGAGGCAACCCACAAAATTAAACACACTGTGTCCTTAAGGAGGGTATTTTGCCAAGATTAGCTTTTCTACATCCAAATACATCCAACACTTTAACCCTAACTCCCCAGAGTGATTTACTAGGAACCATACCCATTCAAACAAATTCCAACACCATATGGTAAACTGTGCACAAAAACTGTTGGACTCTGTTTATTTAAGGTATGCCTGAACCCATGTTAAAGCACAAGCAGTTTAGGGGTACAGTACCCAGGGCCACAAATTCACACACTTTACTGGTGTTCAATTCCATGGCTGAATACTTTGGCAACTCTTGGGGGTTTTGTTGTTACATTTCCAAGCATAATAAAGCAATCAAGCTCATTTTATTATGCAGTATTAATTAGCTTCACCTACCATTGGCATTGGTTACATTTGGCACAAATATCTTCTGACTCTGAGGGTCCTCCTTCTCTCTTTCATCTTCATCGTCCTCCTGACGGCAAAACAAAGAAGTTGAATAAATGACATAGTTTCAGCACTAATTTTATAAAGAATGTGGGGAAAGAATTGCTTGGTACCTGGTGCACAAACTATGACACAGAGTCTAAGAAAGTGTAAATGCTTTCTAAGTGAATACCTCAATATTTTCACGGCTCAGTTTGACTTTTAGGACATACTATTGCTTTTGGATGGATAATACTACAGGGAAAAACTGTGGTTTCCGTAGGGCTATATGAAATTCTTTCCATAGGCCTATTACAGTATGCCCATAACATGAATTATTTATCATTAAATAAACAAAAACCACTTCGGCCTAAGTTAACCCTAACCATGCTGAACCCAACAAGGTTGTGCAGGATTTTTAACTGGTTTGGCTTTCACTAAAAAGTATGACAATAAATAAGATATCAACCTCATCTCCGGCCCCAAGATTGATGGCGGGCACAGTGGTCTTTGTTGGAGACGGCGTCTGTGAGATTTTGTTTCCGAGCTCAAACATCCAGAGTAAAAAGTTGATGTACAGATGGCGCAGTCCGAGCGATAATCCAAAACAGCCCGGAACAACGATCAGCAAAACCACACAGAAAAACGGCGTCAAGGTGAAGCCAAGCAAAACGAAGAGCAGTTGCTCCATTGTCGCAACCAATCATAACTTGCTCAAGCTCTCAATAAAAAGCAGGTTACATGTAGTTTGTCCGAGATTAAACTCATTGTCAATAACATGAATTCTGATATCTGACTCCGGCTCCACACGCGCGCAGTAGTCCGGGTGTTGATAAATATATTGGCACATCGTACGATGTCCGGGTAATGTATTGTTCCCGTTAGTTTTACGTAATAAATGTACAATACATACTAGGAACCCGACTACCAACAGTGTGAAGTAACTGGTACTCTTAAAGATATCAGCGCTCTTATTAATAGATTAGGTACACCAGCGCATTTCAAGATGGCTCCCACTCCAGTCGCGGTGTCGCCTTTAATCAAGGTAAAATATGTTTTAAAATGGCTTTGTTTTGTTCAACAAAACCAAATAATCATACTTCGGCGAGTGATCTATTTAGAATATCTAATTAAGAGAAAGGTTGTGATGAATCTTATATCATTTGAGTTACATTTAGTGGTAGAAAACCATTTTAAACATTAACGATTGCTTGGGAAGATTGCTCTAACTTGACATGCTGGGGGCGCCCTTCAGATTTGTGTTCACTTAATTGTAAAGGCAGGGAGCACCACAGCAAATAAATTCCCATAGACAGCAGTGATAAATCCCCATAGTACTTCACAAATATTTAAAAATATTCACAACTCTCACAGGTGTTTAGGCTGCACAGAAAAATGATGTTCAACATTCCATTTTCCTTTCAATTTTTAGTGGGTTGGCCGATGAATTTTTGTGAAATTCTCACCCAAAGCTTTAATAATAAGCAGACCACCTTAATCAAAATGAAGGAAATTTCACTGCCCGAAAAAGTAGCCATTTTGAAAATGCATTCCTTTGCGAAACGGCAAAATAGTGCTACTTTTGGACCCGACGGCATCCAAATTGCTTAGAATTGGAAGCCCCGAGTCTGGGCCAGAGGCATTTCTCCAATTCCACGATTTAATGGCTCTCTAATATAGCATATTTTGAGTGTAACTTTTATTAATGAGCTCAGTGGACATATTTCTGGCCTATTTGTGGGTGGTGCACCCGGAAGTCCACAAGTCTTAAAGGTCTTGCTCTCACTTTATTAAAACAGAATGAAAAAATAAAACCCTCAAATGTTCAGTCAAGAATGTGGTAAGAGTTCCATACACGGATATCACTTATTTTTCCTTTTCAGTTGTCAAATTATAACTTAAGCCATCAGAAAGTAACAATAATGTCCTAAAAGGTCAAATTTAGCAGTGTCCTGAAGCATATACTCCGAAAACTTTTCAGACTTGTCTCATCTCATAGAATTTTGCACAGGGTATCAAGTGATGTCTGTGTACGAAACTCTTTCCATGAAAGCTTCTGTTATGATTATTATTAAGTACTTTGTTTTCTTTTTTTTCTTTCAGTTTTCAAGGTATTCGGCACTGCTCTTGGGTATAGCCTATGGCTCAAGAAGAAACAGTGAGTGATTTGCTTTGTACATCGGTACATATCCAGAAAAAAAAAACACTTTAACAGAATAACTTATATTGGAGTAAAAGGTACCTCTGGAATAACTCCACCTCCACAGAGATTTTGAAATATGAAAAGATACCAAGCACTGTCACGATAATTTTACTCTCTGTTTTCAGTAGTCGGTCCTGTATCTTGAATGACCTTTGGCCTTGCGTTTGGGCAACACTCTTACATGAGTTCCTTTCCTCATTTTCCGCTTCTACTACACACAGAGACCCTAGAAAAGCGAGAAGCAGAATTGCTGAGGCTGAAAGAAGAGAGGAAGGCAGCGGATGAGAAGAAGATGGCAGCAGCTAAAGGTAATCTTGACCAACATTGCTCCGTCGGAAATAGTAGACAAGGCATCTCTTCCAAACACCCGGGATGGCTAGCATGTTTATCTTATATCACGGTCTAATTGTGAGTGTACTAATCAAGACCTCCAGGTTGCTAGACACATTAATCCAAGTTGGATCTGGACAGTTCAAGGAATGTTGCAATGTTTATGTTCTTTAACTGATTTTAAAATCAGTCAAGATATAGGAGGGTATTTCAGAGTTTGTGAACATTCATGAATGTTACTACAAACATCCTGCTCCACCACATGGTTTAACGTATAATTTGTGACTGGCGTTTAACTTAACCTGTTTGTCTTGTAAATTCCTCTTGCCTGCAGAAGCTGGTGGTTCGATATTTGACTAGCGATGCAACAGGAAATCCCTCCAACCTCTGACTGTTACAAGTTCTCAGGGTTGTCTCACATCAACATTAAGGCTTGTCAACTGTGACATCACAGCACCAGCTGATCTGATTGGGCTTTCCTGATGACGTATTTTGGATTTATGTTTGATTCGGGCATGGTCAGCTGTCGCTCAAGAATTCTCATTTATACTCCCAAACTAGCACTTACTAAACTCTAACTAGATGAAGGGTTTTTTCGAACACCGGCAATGTGATAAGGTTTTTCATCAAATGAATTGGAACATGCAGTTCGTTAAGAATGTCATTAAACATTCACTGGGTGGTCTGGGAAAGTGTCCATTTGCATTATAAGTAAACGAATAGTGGTTTCTCCTTTTTGAGGAATTGGTCTGACAAAGTAGCTTTCAGTTGCTTGCAACTTGATAAGAATGCATGCATCTTTGGGACACCAGTGAAACACCTAGGTTGGAAATTTACGAGGTTAAGGAGTTGACTTGTTTGATGTGTATGTAGATTGCCATTTCTGTAATTGGAGTTTTGTGTAATTTATGATTGCTGTTGGTGCTGCTTTGGCCCATTCTGCTATAAAACAACATTCAGGAGCTGTCAAAACTCTTCAAGCTCAAAGATTTGATGGAGCGCATTATAACAGCTCCGGGGCAGTACAAGAACAATACGCTCTTGAGGGCGAATGCCTCAATATATGGGTTCAAGCTTGGGAATCAAAGCAAGCCAGAACAACTCCCCTCACCTCAGCTGGGAAGATCTGAAAAATAGATGAGCATCATTTAAAAGTTTTGACTTCTGCATTTAAGCTAAACCCGAAAATGTCCAATTCATGCAGAGGTCCCCATGACCCCTTTCATTTTTCAGATATATGTATCTGCCATCTTTTTCAAAATTTCTCCCTCACTGAGAATTTTTATTAAAGTTGTGAACAGAGCACACAGTTTCTACATGGACAAACGTTCTCAATGTGTCGTCTTTTATAAGTCAGAACTCTAGCTTGCAAACAGACAAGTAAAAAAAATCCTACATGTAGTGCAAAGTTTGTAAATTGAATTAACTCTTTTTAATGATGCTAAACAGCTGAACACAATACAGATCAAATTTAATAAATCTTCACCAATAAAAATGTATACAAAATATACAAAAAGTGAATTCAAATACCAACACTTGTGCCAGTTATGTGAAATGATACAATGCGGCACTTTGAAAACTGCAGTGTACAAACAACTTTTTAAAATATCTCATCCAATTTTGGCTTCAGAAGACAACCAAATCTGGACGGAAATTTTCCTCATAAAGGCAAATACCAAATGTCAACACAGCAAACGACTACAAAAAAAATTGTCGTTCAAACCTTTGAACACATTCCAAGTACATAAAGTATCAATTCTTTGCTCTCTGCTGAACTCTTTCTGTAATAAGACTGGGTCTGGAAAATTTGACGCGAATTTTATCAGGAATGTCGCTCATTTACATCTCATTCCTCATCAAATTTGGGTTGAATGCAGAAAATGGACGTGATGCAAACTTGCCAACTCTGAAATACCCTCGTCAATGCCAGGAATGGTATTTTGAGCTGGGTGGTTCAACTCCAACTATTGCATTTTTCAATCTTAGCATTTATACAATCAATCAGTCGAATAGTTGTCACGCCAACATACCATACCAAATATGGCATCATCAATGCTGGCATCAATGTCCCACGAACAATCAGCACAGAAACAACTGCACTGCTTCCAGAATTCTCAAGTTGAAAGCTGAAATTCTAAGTCATGTATGGTCACCTCCCGTCGTTGGAAACTGATTTACTTTTCACAGGATGTCAACAATATTTCAACTTTTTAAAATGCAGTCTTCAAGAGGAGGAGTTCAAGTGAAATCCAACCAAAACATGCCACCCCCTCTTGTCACCCTCCTATACGAGAAGATGCATCATTGCTCGGGAAACGGCACAATGGGTCAACAAATCAAATCTGACAGGTTCTGATCATTGACCTGTAGTCACTGACCCCGCTTCATTGAGCAAACAAATCCTTATAGTCTTCGGATTCAATTCGTGCATTATACTCTTCCACAATCTTGTTGGCCTGCTTCAAGTACTCATTGATGAAGGCGTCCATATCTAGAAGAGAGAAACACAGAATACAGACCAGTCATACTCATGCAACTCTAAAGCACTCGGCTAGTAACATGCAAATAATGAATGCAATGGTATGAATACCTTAAGTGACAGACTGAATGTTCAATTTCATGAAGTGAAGCCAAATGGCATAAAACACTCTGGGTAAGTTTCGTCTACATCACTCCTTTTGTTAAAGTAATCACATATGCAGTCTTCTGGAGTGAACTCTGTGAGCAGGTACAACACAAGACATGTTAAAGGCTGTTGTTCAGTCAGGGCTGGCTGGTGCAGCTTTCTTCCTTGACAAGCTGTAGATGTTTCCATTTAGTAACTAATTGTTCTCACCCGGATGGGTATCCGTCTTCTCCCCTGCCATGCTGACATACTGTGAGCCGTTGTAGAACCAGCCCTGGGGTAGGGCATCAAGGTGATGTTTTACCTACAGACAGAAATCCATAAACATGGCAGTATGAAGTGAAAGATTACGATGGCAAAAGGATACTACACTTTCCCATTCGTGATTTTTTTTGGTTGAATTCCTCTTTCTCTTAAGGTTTGGAAATAAGAGTGAATAATCGCTGTATTTTTTCTAAACTGTGACACATCCAATTACATGTATTCTCTTCCTCTCCTCCTTGGTAAGCGACTGTTTTGTCTTGAGCGGCTTCTTGGTCGGCCTCTGCCTGCTGCAACCCCTCAGCCACTCCTTCAGCTGGCCCGCCTCCAGGTCGCAGCCCGTGAACACCAGGCAGTAGGAGTGGCAATGGTCTCCCTTCTCGTTGGGCCCATTGGCTGCGCTGGGACCTGCCGCGATGGAAGCATTGGGGGGCATGGGCTGGTGGGGTGGCGGTGGGGTGGGGGACGGGGGGCTGAAGGGGGACGGATGGCCACTGTCTCGGGGACCGGGGTGAGGGAGATGTAACTGCTCAGGGTGACGCTCTGTAACTCCATCAGCTGGTCCGAGTCTGTGCCAATGACAGAGACAGAAGCAGGAATGTTACTGCAAGGTTAAGAGGCAAACCTACGTGTAAGTAAGATTTGAAACTGGTGGAGGCTAGCCTTAGAGAAGGTTTTGGACACATCATGCGGAATCAATCTCTACTCCAAGAGTGGTGGCTTTCGAGAAGACCTGGAGAGTGTGGACCTGTTTGCATCCCAAATGAACCACCAGCTTCGTACATAAAGACACCTGGTGGTGCTGAAGTAAAAACGAGAAACCTGGTACCCGATTGTTCAATTTACCAGCATATGTTGGAAGTTAAAATGGGAAAATCAGCCAATCGGGGTTACGCGCTGACAACAACGTTAAGCAGTGTGGTATACATGTACCAGGTCTAACCAGACACTGAGAGACTGACTCTAACAAACTCAGCTGGAAGGTGGTAACGTCAAATGACGCGATGTTGTAATGGAGTATTAAGCTCAGCAAATTCAAAGTTTAATTCCAAAGTGTCATAAGATTTAGGATAATAACATCCATCATTTTCAAATTCAACTCAAAAGTTCAGCAGGGAACAGAACCAGAAGACTACCTGTGAACTTGGTGCGTCCCGTCACGCAGTACACATTCCCAGTGAAGGAATTCCTGGAGGCTGCTTGGTCTCGGAGATCTCGCAGCTTGACAAGCAGCTTCCCTCTCTCCAGGGGCTGGCTGAATTTCAGCACAACAGCGGTCATGGCTGGGTAGAGGGCACCAGAGCCGAACCGACCCTCCAACCTCGACATGAAAAAATATCAGTTTCTGTGATTCCTCATTTTCTGTGACTTCTTCTTTTCCATGTAGTTGTGGTTCTCCAAATGCTGCCTCTTCTCAATGTTCTAGACAGCACTTTAGCCAACTCTCAAGAATCAACGAAGGAGCCGTTGCACTGGTTGTGGATATTAAATCCATCAGAGAATACTGCTCTGGTCGAGTCAATTCCAATAATTGAACATTCGGATACTTCACCTTCCTTTTGATCACATCTTTTCAACTATTCAGCTGTACCAAAGTCCCACAAAGGCAGAAACAAAATATTCCTATTTTACAACACATAGAACAAAAACTTTAAAAAGAATTTTCCGCTTTATTATTGGTCACACATATGCAGCTGCCTTTTAGTTACATCTTTGAAGAATGCAATAGTGTGCCTCCTATTTTTTCCTAGTTTCTTTCATTGATTTTTATCCCCAAATAATTAATTTTGAAAAATAATACTTGATCATTCGATTTACAATGAATATCTTAATATTTGAATATTCAGCACAGCCCTAAATTTTGTAAAACAATTCTAGTCCACACAAGTACTTTCAAATGGGTCAGAGTGATTTTGTTGCTGACTAACACAAGTTCCCCATTCTGTAACTAGAAATCTTATGACAAGGTAAACCAGCTCAGTTGAGTATGAAAGCCCTACACAGTACCCAAAAAAAACCAAGCCAACACTTACCAGCCTGGGCACAGAAGGTGCCTAGCTCTGATCATACTGGGCGTGTTGAACAGTGACTCAGATAGGATCATGTCCACATCTTCACTTCTGCCATGCAGAAATTTAACACAACAAATTCAAGAGATCAACAAAAATACACGAAGGGGCAGAGTGTTGCAGCCGAATTGATATGCAATCTATTTCTTGTGCCTGAAACATTGGAGAACCATACTCAATCACATTCGGTCATGTACCATCTACTTAATAACGCCATGAAAACAACCATCTCTAAACCAGAAATGGCCACACATCAAGTCCAACCTCTCCACAGATACTATGTAATGCATATCAACGTGTCCATGCAGAGTACTGCATTATCAAGTGTGCATAGGGCGCGAGGAAGAAAGAATTCACCTTGAAATTTCGCCTTTGTTGGCCAGGATGAAGGCTAGACCTGGATTGACCCTTCGTAGGAGTTCTTGCACCATGGATAACACAGGATCCTTGGGAAAAGCATACCAGTCATCGCATAAACCAATCACCATGAAGTTATACCACATATCAAAATGGCTTTTTGAGCATGTTGCATTTTCCTATGCTTACAGTTTGAAGGACGATAGAGAGTAATAAAAGATTAAGTAAATCATTTGAATATGAGCAGCTCAGACACAGAGAAAAATTTGGGCTAATTTCGTCAGGGACTCACTGGTCCTGGGGTAGAGCTTGTGAAGAGCACGTTGTTGACCCAACCCTGGGCACACTGGTCCAGCAGCTTTGGGAAGGTATATCTGCAGTCAAAACCCCCCCCCAAAAATAAACCAAATGTTGAAATGCATTTCGAATACGGTGATCCATTATTTCAAGGCTACAGGAACTCTTTCTTCAAAATAACCGTCGCATGGACAAGACTGCCACCAACCTGTGAGCCATGAAGGTGTTGTGCGCGTCCACACAGGCAGTGACGGCACCGATGCGCACCAGCTGAGCTACCTCTAAGTCTGGGTGACAGGTGATTGCGCGCACCACGTCC